GCTCCTGCCAGCCGCCGCCGGCACAGCCGCTTCCGCGCTCCTCGGGAAGCTTCCTCGGCCCCGACCTGAAACGCCGCGGCCCCGCTGGTTCTCCGGTTCCGTTTCTGGTGCCTGCCAGGCCGGAAGGGCTGCTCAGTTTTCCGCTGGAGACGAGCGTTTTGGAGAACTAGTGGGCACGCTGAGGCTCTTGAGGTGAAGCAACTGGAAACATCTCTTGTATCATCAGTCAGCACACGGTGAAATAACACATTTCTGAGCAGTGAGTTAGCTTCAGGTCACAAGCTACCAGTGACGTGTTTTTAATTGCATCTAAATGTTCTTTCTGTTAGGGATCTGCTTTTATTATTTTTGAGTTAGCTTCAGATTGGTGTAAGGATGCGTGTGATGAGGTTGATTAGGTGTCTTGCTCAATATTTACATACTTTTATAACTGATACTTAGTAGCTTCAGTGCAACCATTATGCATTTTTCTGGCAAAGTTGTTTAATTTTGTTGGATTTACGTTTTGCAGAGTTATATTAAAGCTCTGTATCCTTCTCACCTGTGAGAAGGGATTTCTTTGAAGCCTTGTGGCAGTCATCATTCCACAGGTTGCATTATCCTGCCCAATTAATTCTTTTCCATTAGTTTGCCAAGAGCTCTTCAGTTGGCCTTTTACTTCAGTAGTAGATGTCTTTGAAATGTATAAAAAGGACAGTGTTACCATGGTGGCCTACGCGTGTAAATGTGAAAGATTAAGGAATATCTTGTTTTGTTTTTTCTAACCTGTTTGGAAATGTAGGGTGTGCTAGTTTACTATATGTAAAGTTAGTTGCCCATAATAGTACTGATAAGCTCTGTGCTTAGCACCAGCGTGCACACGTGGTCTGATAACTGTGCACAGTAGTACTTTATAACAGCACGTATCTCGGTATATCTGGAAGAAATTATAGAATGCTTTTCAGAAGACCACCATCTCTTTGTGCAAATAATCACTCTTGTACACCTTTGTACAGCTTAGGGAAAATCCTTTTCACTTGCTGCATATGAGTGGTATTGTTGTGAAGGGCAGAAATGCATCTGGCAGTCTTGGTGCGCCTCACGCTGCACGTGATGAAGAGTGTCATCTAGGAAATGTTTTCTGGTTTGCAAAAGCTAGGCCACAGGGCAGTGTGACTATGGGCACTGCTTTGTGTGAGGAAAGCTTTGAATCGGAACTCTGCAGCAAAGTGTGTTGGTATTCAGGCAGGTGGTTCTCGCAGTCCAAGGTGAGGTATTGGCTCTTCTGTTAGATTATATGTGAAGGTGTTGGTGTTCAAACCTCGTGTGGTCAGGAGGAGTGAGAACAAACTCAGCAGGTATTGTTAAAGCAGAATTCTTTATGTATCCTAGAATGGTTTGGGTTGGAAGGGACCTTACAGACCATCCAGTTCCAACCCCCCTGCCATGGGCAGGGACACCTTCCACTAGACCAGGTTGCTCAAAGCCTCATCCAGCCTGGCCTTGAACACTTCCAGGGATGGGGCATCCACAGCTTCTCTGGGCAACCTGTATGGTTTAGCCTGGATAAGTTTGGCTTTCCGGATGTTGCCCGAAGAATCGTTGTCAATGCTAGATTAAACAAGAGTAGTTACAAAAGTGTCGTTCGCTTCCTGCTATGGTGTAACTTTGATAGATTCCTAGAGGGAGGGCTGCTTGTGAACCAGCTTCGTGTAACTTGCTAATGGTGCTCTACAGAGTGTCAGAAACATTTGGATACCTGAGGACTTTTAGCAAAACTGCTGAAGGCTGTTGCTCAGTTTGGCTGTTGACCAGTGTGAAACTTGCAAACTGATGAAGAGTAGTTAGCTTCATGTGACTGTGGCACGCTACTCGTGCCAGAGAACAGAGTGGTAATGAAGAGATCATAAACACCAACTCTGAGTTGCATGTCCATCTTGTCAATGCAAACAGTTGGCTGTTCAGAGTGCTGGCTCTTCAGGCAGTTGGTCAACTGCTTCAGTCCTTTAGAGCCTTCATTTATAAAAGACTGTTTTCACTATGTTTGGAGCTTCAAACCAGGCAGAAGAGTTGTGCTTGAAATCACAAGTGTACTTGTTGATGAAGAAACATCAATTATGCCGTGGTTTTGCAGCACTGGTTTGAAAATCCACATTTGTTCTTTGCGTGGTATTTAGAGATCTTACTGTTACGTTACAGCACCTGCTTTGTCAGTCTGTGCTTGTGGCATGTCACAAAGGTATATATCCTTTGAGCATGTATCTATAGTGCATTTTTTCCCCCAAAAAATAGTTGTATGTTAGACCTTAACAGTTGTTAATGGCATGATACTTCCATTTATTTTCTGTTGCTGTGGGCATTTTATGTGATGTAATATGGTGATGGATGTCAACAGGGGCTATGTGGATTTGGTTCTGTGAGCTTGGCAGTGAAAATTTATCCTGATAACAAGTACAGGCTGTATCAGGGTCAGTTCTTAGCTTGGGCAAACTAGGCAGATGAATATGGGAGCAAACTGCTAAGCCTGACAAAAATCATGGCCATAAAGCACGCAAGAGACCCTCTGGCCAGGGCTCTGTGGTTGCCTTACGCAGAGCAGCCTTTCTGAGCACCCCCTTTGCGGAGCAGCTCTCTGGTTATTGTTCTGCTTCCTACATGCTCAGCCTGCTACGTGACCACCGCCTTCTCTCTCCTGCTGCTGCTGGCAAGGCGAGCACTGCCACAAAAGTGTGGGGTTTTTTCCCATGCCAATAAGGAGGGCAAACTAAGGTTTTTATCCTCATTTCTGTGAGTGACAAATTTCAGTTCTCCATATGCTTCTGAGGCGGTGTCAGCTCTGACTGTTTATTACAACCCTGCCAAATCTTATGTTTTTCATAAATGTAGTGAATGGATAAGCAGCTTATGCAACTGAAGACGTTTTTTCTTAATAGATTTGTGCAATATAGAAAAAGCCTTTGTGCAAGTAACTCACTGTGCTTCTGATCTGGAGGCCTACGCTCCCTCCTGGAAGCAGACTTTCTTCAGTATCCTGTGTTTTGTGTACATACAAACACTTAAAAAGCAAAGTTTGAGGAGCTCAGACACTTTAAATTTTACGGATTTGCTAGCTTTATGTGAGTAATACTAAAAGAAGATACTTTCTAAACCAAAATTCTATGCATTTAGTTTTGAAAAGCTTTTATATTGGTACTTTCATTACGAGATTAAGTGCAAAAAACTTGAGTAGTTTTTTCTTCTCCCAACGTTAAATCCACAGCTTTAAAATTAAAAGCCACTTTGTGGCTTGCGTGCTTTACTTAATTGATTCAGTGCATGGTTGAAAGTTTTGGGTTTGGTTTTTTTTTTTTTTACTTAAAATCTCCTCATTTCATGCATTACTATACCCAGACCTAAGATGTGTCTCCATAGAACCTCAGAAGTTTTTTTATGGTTCTATAGGTTGTCCCATGTGAGAGAAATTGGGCATTATCTCATTTATAACTTGGAACTTGTTCTTTCTAGCAGTTTCCATGCAGCCACCGAGTCTTCTTTGAGATGCAGGAGCTTGCTTTCATGCAACTCATAGCTGCTGTAGGTCTGCTTTTCACAGAAAGTAATTTTCTAGGCAGCAAACATTAACTCTGTCTCAAATTCTTCTCCCTGCAGGAAGCTGCACAAGCCTTGATTTATGCTGGGATGGCAGGGTCCAACTTGGAAAATATTCAAGAAAAAATAAATGAGTACTTGGAGAGAGTTCAAGCTCTCCATTCAGCAGGTGGGTAAGGAGCTTTCTAATTAAACCTTTGCTTGAATTAATTGAGTGGAAAGCCTTTCAGTGCTGTGGAATATGTATCAATGCCGTTTGCTCTGTTTTTCAGTATTCTAATTTTCTTGTCCTTTGTGAAGGACCACACATACAATGTTTTGAATCCTGAAATACGTCAGAAATGAAACGGAGACTTATTTTCTAGGGATTTGGGTGTGGATATTCTAAGTATTCTTATGCACCTGCAGAGCAAACCTGAGAAAATAATTAAATATAGTGACAAAAACTGATCAGGTACAAATCAAAACTCACATCTAAGCCTCAGCTGCATGATGGATTTGAAGCAAGTGGGTTCTGGTGTTTATGTAGAATTACTGAATTTCAGAGGGCAAAAGAATTCTTCACTCTCCTAAGGGTTTCAGTGTCTGTGCTCAGACCAAAATCTCAAATTTTTGCCACCTGCAATTCTCAGTTAGAATCATTTGACCAGAAAGGGACCTTGGGATGTCTATAGACCAATCTCCTGCACAAAGCAGGGTAGACATTGTTGGGTTTTTGTGGGGTTTTTTGGACCAGGTTGCTCAGGTGCAGCCAGGTCCTGACAATGCCCAAGGACAGAAATTCCGCAGTGCTACTGGGCCCCTGCTCCAGGGTGCCATTGTCTTGCTAGTGATTTTTTTTTTTTAATATATCTAGTCGGATTCATCTTTGTTTTAATCCATAGCCACTGGCTCTCTTTTTCTTTGCAAGAGCCTGAATCCATTTTCTTCATAACCTTGCAGTTACTGGCAGGTTGCTATTAGGTCTCCTCAAAGCCATCTCTCCTCTTGGCTGAAAAGCCCTGCTTTCTCAGCTGCTTCTCAAAAGCCCAAGTCTTCCAGCCCCAACCATAATTAGGGACCTGAGATTGGAAGTGGTATACCAGATAGAGCCTGCTGAGTGCAGAGTCGAGGGTGGTAATCGCTTCCCCCATCTCCTGGCTGTGCTTCTGCTGATACAGCCCAGGGTGCTGTTAGCCACCATCACTGCCAGGGGCCTGCGGACTTGGGCTTACCCAGCTGTACCGCAGGACCCCAGGCCCTTCCCTGCAGAGCTGGACCCTGCAGGGTGTCAGTCTGTCCCAGACACAGGGCATAGCGTTTGTCCTGGTTTGATTTCCTGAGGTTCCTGTCAGCCTTGTCTGCCTCCCTTTGAGCAGCAGCTGTGTCCTTGTGTGAATCAGTTTGGTGGGGTCTGCAGCCTTGATGAAGGTGCATCTTCTCCTTCAGGTCATTAATAAAGGTCTTAAATGGGATGGACACCTAAGGAACCTGTGTAGGACCACAGGTGATGGGTTTTCACACATGACGCGAGACTTTACATAGTTCAACATCCTTTACCTTAGTGTAGTATGAAAGGGATTTTATTTACATTCTTTAACATGTGGCATAATCCTGGGAGTGTAACTCTGCTTTGAGATGGGGATGGGGTTTTCTTGTCCTTGCAAAGATGTTTTTAGCAAAGTTTAGCATGTTCAGTTTCCAGCCCAGAAATGTATACTACCCATAGGATTAAAACTGCTAATGTTTCAGTAACATGTTAAGGATGTTTTTACATGTCTGCTGCTGTGGAAAGCTAAATACTTTCTTTTTCGTTTAGTCCAGTCACAGAACACAGACCCTCTGAAGTCAAAACAACAGTTGGACTTGGAGCGCGCTCGCTTCCTAGTTACACAGGCTTTTGATGAAGACGATAAAGGCAATGCGGAGGAAGCTGTAGAGTTGTACACGGAAGCTGTGGAACTCTGTTTGAAAACAGTATGTTAAGCTACAGGTTAACTTGGTGGAATTATGTGATGGTAAGAAATTCTTCCACTTACACAAGTGACTGACCCTTAAAGGCTGGCTTAAAAATGGAGTACCTGTATTGCTAAAAACTATTTTTTAATCTTTATTTCCACTGTTTTTTTTAGTGTTTCTTCCAGTCTTTATGTTATGTTGCTATTCAGCACTGTAAATTTATGGGGACTTGTGACTGATGCTTTTTTCTGAAATGGATTATACTAAAAACTAGAAATATTCTGAAACTTCTTTCATGTTAGTTTTTGACCTGGAGTGAATGCAACACTAAAGCAGAAATTAAAAACAGTGAAAAGATTATTTGTTAATGTGTCAGCTGTATTACTTTCTGACTACATTAAAGGAAGTAATTTAAGGGAAATTTTTGTGTTTAACACTTTGAGAACATAATGATCTACCAGTGCCAAAACTAGTAAAAATACTACTTGATTATTCAGTGCTCAACATTACAGCTGTTATGACTGGATTCAAGTCACACTGAAATTAATGGTAAGGAGGAATTGGCCATTACAGAAATGATGGAGAATATAATTACAGGTACTGCTTTTTTCCCTTAAGTCCAGTTGCCTTAACTAACTCATTACAGGAAGAGCTCACCATCATAATGTAACTCCACCAAGTCTGTTTTTCTTTTTCCCTTTTACTCCCTTTTTATAATGTCAATATATGTGTGGTGTTGAGAGGGGTATGGTACTTTTCCTATATGCTACAGTAAAATCTTATTTTCTCTGAGTTCTGTAAACTGGTTTTATGTAGGCTAAAAAAACTGGTGATACTCTGTAACCAGATCATGAGCTAGTAGAACTGCTCTAGTTTTTCCACTTGAGCTGTTGGGAGCAGAACGTTTTCAGTCTATTACATAAAATCTACTGCGGCAGCATGCTGTTTTTCCTGTGCTGCGTTCTCCCTTCTGTTGTGTCAGTGCATGCAAATATTATTTACACATATTGAAGTTAGCCTGAAATTATCTCACGTTAACACCTGCTTTTATCAGGTATTTCTTTAGGTGCAGATGATGCTGCTGAAGTTTCTTTTAATCTTGACGAGCATGTTACTTTAAGATGACTGTAGGCTTTATCCCTCGGGGTGATCAAAAAGTACCTCTTCCCCCCAGGATGAAAAAGGATTGAAGGAACTCTGTCTTGAAGCTTTGCTTCTGTCTTTCTCCACAGTATATTCAGGTGGAGAGATTTGTTTCTTCTTTACTCTTGAAGTACTGAGAGCAGCCATTCCTCCTTTTCTGTGGCTGACTCCTAGATGGGTTGCTGGCATTCCATCTCCATTGCTTACCTTCATACATCTTTCGGAGTCTTTTCCAACCAGGAGCTCTGGAGTGTCATTTATTTGCAAATGAAAATAGTTCCTTATAGAGGGTGTTACGAGTTTTGTTTCTTGGGGTGAAAATAGCTTGCGTTTTGTTTCCTCATTTGACCTAGCTGGCCTGGGAGAATCAGTCAAGGTGCAAACCAGAACCGGAAAGCTGCTTTTGGATGTCACAGCAGAAGCCATGCTTCGTGTTGTGGCTCTTGCAGATCGCTTAGCGGCAATAGCGGTGCTCCTTCTGTAAGGAAAGCAGAAGCATGAACTGGTCGTAGGAGTAAACTGTCACAGTTGACCTCCCAGCTGGGCACAGAAGTTGGCACTCTTGATAAGCTGTGTTGGTGCCATGTCATAGTTTATTTGATGCCTTACATGTCCAAGAACAAGATTTTTAATTTGCAAGCAGTTTTGCTTGTTTATATTTTATGAAAGTAAACATTCAACTTATTTTTTTTTCCTAAATTACCATGGTTATTTTTGACTCATTTGGGGAAAAGAATGGGAACACAATTAAGCTTCGTAGGTTACCTAACACTTGGTTTTGTCTTCTTCCTGCCCAGAGTGTTTTAATATGGTTAATTCTTACAGCAGATTTTTTCTGTTAACAATGTTGTCCATGCTGAAGAATTCTAAATATCACTTTTGTTCCATGAACATTCACTAGAACAGCTGAGATTTTAAAAAAAAACCATATTTGCTCATTTCAAGAGAGAATTGGGAAAAACAGCTAGCTGTTGTTTGCTGTCACCTATAAGTGTGGAGTTTGACAAACTGAGCCTATAAAACCTGCAGGGTGTGTGTTTTGATGTACGTCCTTTTCTTCTCTTTTGCACTTAAGGCTACTGAAACGTCAGAAGCAGGCCTCCAGTCCAAACTGAAACAGCTGGCTCGACAAGCCCTGGATAGGTGAGTATTGCCCATGTTGTATCCCACGTATTTGCTGACAGGGCTAAGTGCGCTCCGAGTTGGGTTCTCAGTCCAGCCTGTCTATTCTATACTGCAAAGAGTATGGATTCTGTGTAGAGCTAGCTCCTGCAGAGCTCTCCTGGCAGATCACTGCAGCTGCTATGCCCCTGAATGTAGGGACCTTGGGACATGCATAACTGGGAAAGAACAGTGTGTAGGTTAGTACCAATACACTACTTCAGTCTTCGGAGATATAAATTGGAGTATTTTGCTTATATGTGACTATCCAGCAGCTCAATGCAACAACAGAAATATGGCTCTTGAATGCACAGTTTTCAAGCAGTTGAAATGCTGGGTTGTGAGAATGCTACTAGTGGGTTTTTAGTGTTACTGTAGCTGCTAGACAAATTAAATTCTGAAGGTATGAGAGGACATAAATCAGTTTGCTCTGTTTCAGTGGTCTTGTTCTGAGGTTCTGGATAATGAACGCGTACACAAATTCTCCTATCAGCATAATGTAAAGGCAACATAAATCTAACCAGAAGTAGCTTATATAAGAGTTGGAAATGCTGTATTTTAACTGATTTTAGAACAGGAAAATAAGGCAGCAGTGGCATCAGAAATTAATTTTTCTTGGGAGAAGTGGTGTTGGTCAGCTTGGGCATTTGTCCATTCCATTTAACATATGTAGCAACGTGAACCAGGCAAATCAATAACTGAACCATAGCTATATTTTTATCATTGCTTTTAAACAAAATGCATTTTTATTTGCTTTAGAGCAGAGGCGCTAAAGGAATCTGTGTCAAAGACATCTCAGAAGGAGAAGTCAATTGCAGCTAAACCGAATCAGCCAGTCAGAACATTCTTTCCGCTGGGACCTGATTTTTCTTTAAATGATAAACCACAGACAATCAGAGCAGTACAGGCTAGTGAATCTCAAGGTCAGAGATACACTGCAGAGGAGATTGAAGTACTCAGGTAAGTTGAAGACAAGTTTTTTCCGAAACCTTATCATTTTTGCTCTCATCCTTTGTGCATCTGATGCAGCAGATTGAAACAGCTGACGCATGAGGCGTATAAATTGAGGGTTGGAAAGCCACCTCTTACAGACCCCATTGCTGCTATTACCTACACATCAATAAATCATTATATTCTCTGTGTTAATGTAATTAGTGGCTTTTATTCACCGAGCGTACTTTCTAGTTTGTGTTTAGAAGTCAATTGCTTGTAACTGGCTGCCAGAATTACTTTTCATAGCCTTATCTTTGTAAGTTATATGTAACCTACCTGACTGAGTTCGTGAAAGATCTGGCTCTGAGAAGCCAAGGTACAAAGATTTTTTCCTAGATTATGCAGCTACGACTTCACTAGAAATTGAAGAAGCATGATCTGTTGTAGGACTGTGACTTCTGTTCCATGAGTTCCTTTTGCTTTGATTTTTACTGTAGGTGGAATAAGCTACAAATAATCCCCAAGACCTTTAGCCTAAATCATAAATTTTTAAAAATATCAAATAAATATTAAAAAAGGCACATTGTCTGATAGGTGTTTCGACCTTCCTTCCCCTCCCTGTGCAATAAAAACAATTGTAATGGAGGTGATGCTCAACACTCTTCAGGATTTGGTTGTAAAACATTCGGTGTGCTTGTTGACTTTAGGGGACTTAAATGGGCTGAGAGTGTGGTCATGGAGATAGAAATGTGCTTGTGTTGCAGAACATTGAGTTACCTTATTAAAATTTCACGGTTTTCCTCTTGTAGGGCCTGTGCAGTGAATGTTTCTGGTTTTGTGGATGATTTGGGTGTAGTGTTTGTTGTTTGTTGTTGTTGTTGTTTTGATTTTCTTTTCAGGGCTTTTGTTGTTGTTTCAGTCTTGCAAGAGAGCTTCAAGTTGCTTCACGTCTTTAACCATAATTTGATTTTAAAAATATTTTGCATACCTTTTTCTGTTAACTCCATGTTTGAAACCTAAATTATATTCACATTTAAATAGGATTCTGTTTTTTTAGAAATTATTCTGTATGCCTAAGTAAAAAATGTACTAATAAACGTGCGCAGTATTTAGGTGGTTGTTTGACAAAGTGCTCCAAAATACTGCCCCAATTAGATGAAATATTAAGTGTTGGTAACTGTTAATTGCTGTCAACTTATCCTAAGACACTCTTTAATGAGAGGCTTAAATGACTTGAGAAATTCTGTTTAGACAGTGTAGTTTTAAATGTGACTTCTAGAACTATGAAAAGGTTTGTGGCTGATTAGCCATTTCTGTCCTGGCATGGTGACTTGTCTGCAGGTGTGTGCTAGCAGGATTAGTGACTGAGCCATCCAGTGGTGCACATTTCAAAGGGGGTTCATTTTCAAGATGTAAGTCGTCTTGTTTTCAGAAGCGCTGTGTCTTGTTAGTTTTTAACAACTAATTTTGTTGTTACCTTCTGGAACTTACTCTTTGGAAAATGATAGGTAAGTTTGTAACTTTTTTTTTTTTCTCATGACTTGCAGGAAGACTTCAAAGATTAATGGCATTGAATACGTACCTTTCATGAGCGTGGATCTGAGGGAACGTTTTGCCTTCCCTATGCCGTTTTCGTAAGTGCGATTCAATCACTGAACTTTACTTTTATTTTTATTTCCAAAGGTTTCCCATAAACCTCTTCTTATTCAGAGTTTAAAATTGTTTAAGTAGGCTTTTAAGCTTAGTTTGGGTGGAGATATTTAAATGCTACCACTTCCTTGTTCCAGTCTGATATTAAAACTTGAACGTAAGCTGGTCCCGTTCTGCAGTACGGTTGCAGTTGTGTCTTCAGGCCTATAAGGACAACGTTATGTTTGGCTTTTTGGCATGCTGGGCTGGACTGGCAGCTTGGGTGCATTTCCCGATTCTGCTGCGTGCTGATGAGTTTAGCTGCTTCTGTGCCAGTTACCTGTAAAATGAAGGGGATCGTCCTTCGCAGAGGAAACGGCTGTTCTGAGGAGGTGTAATGCGTAACTGCTAGACCCTCATTCATGAGCAATAATAATGTGTTAATTACATAACTGTAATAGAGAATGACACTTGGGATGGGATGGTTGGTGGTTTTTTTTTCAATTTTCTGCTCCATGTTTTCAGAACTAATGAAACTTTTTATTTTTAGTTCATCATATTGAATTCTGAGGGTGCAGATGGCTTTATGGAAATCCCTTCTGTTCAGTCCTGTACGAAGGAATCTCTTGGGGTTTATTTCATGTTTATAATATTTTTTTTGCCTTTGCCCTAAAAAACACAAACTTAGCAGCAGTGTTCTTTGAAATTGTTTTAGAGCTCTGCATATAAAGCTGTGTAACTGTTCTCTGCATATTTTGCACCATCTCTCAGATGTACACAAGACTGGACTGAAAATCCTTTCTGAACTCCTATTGGTTTATTTCTACTGTTGATTTATTTCTACGTTTTTCTCTTATACATTTAGTGATAAATGTGGGAAGTTACCATTATCCCCCAAACAGAGAGCAATGTTTGCGAAGTGGGTGCGACCAGACGACATAACAAATAACCCTACGATGATTTATACTGTATCAAGTTTCAGCATAAAGCAGGTAAATTGTTCCTGAAGAGAGAGGTGTGCTGCTAGCAGTTGGTTGCAGGGGACCTTCTTGCTGAAAGAGGAATCCCCAAATCTGAGGGTGCTTCCCTAGTTCTCGTGGAATTAGGTAACAGTATCACTTCAGCTTCCATGCATTTTCTAGCCATGAGCATAAATGGGTGAGTTAGTGGAGGTGAAAACCAGAATTTGAGTTCCAGCTGAAAATCTTGTTTTCCAGAAATAGGGGTAAGGTTAGTATGAAAAAAAGCCGCAGCAAACCGTTCACTGAATTTACTGCGTGGTAAAAATAATGAACGAGATTTTTTAAGTTTATTATTTGACAGGAGGCAGAGTGGCCTGTTGAGAATAGTGGAATTGTCTTGCTCAGTGTTCAGTTGCAGATGGCCCCAGCTAGTCTGAAATCAGCAGCAGCTCAGACCGTTTGGAATGCTTTGTATTACACAGGGTGTTGTGGACGGGGGGGAGTCAGTCTGAGTGGCTGCTGAGGTGTTTGCACTTGCCTCTGCTCACTGGTAGTTCTAACTCTAG